AATTTCATAACTCACAAATAGAAAATTCATAATGCCATATGGGAAAATTCATAATTTCACACAGAAAATACATAATCTCACATCAGAAAGTTCATAATATCAAAAATGTATCTTTATAAACTCACAATAGAAAATTCATAATCACAAATATAAAATACATATTTACATGACATAAAATACAGAATGGTTTAACAGGAGATTCAGAAGTGAGCAGAGTAAAAATTGTTGTTATTAACTTACATGTACCAACGTGCTAAAATAGATGCACTTTGGCTTCCCCAACGCCCGTTTTGTGTTGAGGAGTGTAAGCCTCAACGCCCATACATCTATGAATGTGTTAAAAATTTCACCGCTTCGGAGGGTGTGGAAATCTCCTCTTGTCATTGAGAAATCATCAAAGATAAACAGAGTTTCACTACATGAACAAAAAATTTTGATAAATAGGTAAATAAATTAATATATGGTTGTAAATGTGAAATATAAATGAAAATAAAAAGTTTTCTAAATGGTTAGAGTCAAACATACTCCACTGGATGATCTGTAGAAACATCCATGAAGGCGTAGTTTGATACGGCCCTCTCGGTCACACTGGCATTATGGACAAATGGCACATTCTTTGTCCAAAAAGGTGATCTCAAGTTTAACGGGATGTTTTTGTATTTCCGGACTGGTCTCTTTCGCCTGGTGACATCCTCGACATCAGATTCACTGTCCAGAAATGCACTGTAAACACACGAAGATAGTTAATATCATCATAGTTGCACAATTTCAGGTTAGAAAGTTCATAACTGCAGTACATAAAATTCATAAATACAGAACAGAAAATACATAACTGCATATCAGAAAGTTCATAATATCAAAAATGTAATTTAATACTCATAATAGAAAACTCATAATCTCATATGTGAAAATTAATAATATTTCAGAAGAAAAGTCATAATATAATATCAGAAAGTTCATAACACAATTTCATATTCTAATTAGTTTACCTATCAATATCGTCGAGGGTAGCAGGTAGTGTAGCAGCAGGCGTAGAAGTATTAGCAGCATCAGGGACATCTCTGGCGAATGGAACCTTGATCAATGGAGTTATTTCTCGTCTTTCAGAACTTGATGTAGCAGGGGTAGCAGCATATGCTTCAGAAGATGAAGCAGTAGGGGTAGCAGCAGTGGTAGGAACATGCGTAGGAGCAGGGAAAGCAGCAGGGGAAGAAACAGCTGTAGCACCAAGCGTATCAGCAGGGGTTGTAGCAGGGATAGCGATAGGAGTAGTAGAGAGTGTAGCAGCATCAGCAGCACCGGGAGTGTCTTTCACAATGTTCTCAACAAGGGCATCCAATTCATCTTCATCCATTGCACTTTGCTCACGTGGTTCATCAACCAATGGTGCCGGGGTATAAGAGATCCCTAAATCAAATGAGGGAGGGTCAATCTCCATTTGCCGATTGGTCTTATGGAAGGCTTCAACCAAGGCATCAACAGCCTTTGTGAAAGACTCTTGGCCAAAGAAGATGTCGTCTAGTTGAGAGGAGGTTGGAGTTGGTGGTCTTTCTATTGTGCTTGCAACGCCAATCATGGTGGAAATTCCAGAAAATGCGGCCTTCATAACATCCACCGGTGCGTTTTGTCTGCCAACTTCAGCCATAGCCTCACCGAATTCCAAGACATCAGCAGCAAGGCGTTGTAGAACCCGCGTGACCCTATCAACACTAGACGGCGGCACAGAGATGGTTGGGACTGGTTGGGCGGAAGTAGAAGCGATACAATCAGCAGTAGGCTTTGCAATACGAGGGATAACTTTCCCTTTACCATATCCGCCCGACCTTTTCTCAGCGGAAACCCTTTGCCGTGCAAGTTTACTTGTCCATGCAGTAATGCTTGGATATGTTCTTTGAATGCTCATTCCTTTGAATTGGACCCGATCAAAGTAGAATAGCTACAATGTTGAACAAAAAGGTAAAATAAAAAAGTTATAATCACAGAATTCATAATTACACTACAGAAAATTCATAATATCATAATAGAAAATTCATAATCCATATGAACATTATATTCAACTATCATATTATGGATTTTATGTTATGCAATTATGAACTTTCTATTATGAGATTCATTATTGCATAATACTATAAGAACATTCATAATGATAACAAGGAAAATTCATAATTACATAAAGGAACATTCATAATCACATAAAGGAAGATTCATAATCAGATAAAGGAAGATTCATAATCTGAGACATAGAGGAAAATTCATAATCACATAGAGGAAAATTCATAAACTGGTAAAGGAAAGTTCATAAACTGGTAAATGAAAGTTCATAAACTGGCAAAGGAAAATTCATAATCTGACACATAATTCTCATAAAATCTGAATAGCATAAAATACATAAGCACATACTCTAAATTCATAATCACATATAGGAAAACTCATAATCACATAAAGGAAAATTCATAATCAGATAAAGGAAGATTCATAATCTGAGACATAGAGGAAAGTTCATAATCACATAGAGAAAAATTCATAATCACATAGAGGAAAATTCATAATCTAACACATATAATCTACAATCTGAATATCATAAGATTCATAAGTGGAGCTAGAGCTTACCAATATGAATGTCATTGGTCCAGTAAAGAAGCTATTACTTTTCTTCCTGTACTGCTCGATGGACTTGATCAGAGAGTTGTAGGTGTAGCCACACCAGTTGTACTCCTTTATCTCATCAACATTAATCAAGGAGTTGAGGATTCTGTTGTTGCAGTAGCGGTTCTGAAATCCCCTCATCATGCACGAAACAGTCAAGACCATGAAGTCTCTCTTAAAGTCATCTCCAGAATCTCCCCTCTGAACTATGACATCTCCCATCTGGGTAGTGACTGGGGAACCAAGCTTAATATTCCACCGTTCCCTCCAGCTTTTCAAGAGAGCCCTGTATTCTGGTGTCCCCTGTTCATCATATTTTGGGGCATCAACAACCTTCTTTTCTCCTCTTGGAATGCCAAGAGTGTACTCAACGTCCTCTTCATCAACTGTGAGCTTGTCGTTCTCCAGCTTGAAATGTGTTTGGAAAACCTCAAAGTTGGCTATCAAATACTGAACTAATTGTGACTCATTTGCGCACAATTGAAGGTCCAACAGGGCTCCAAATCCAATATCACGGACAGCTTGTTTTTGTTCTGGCAGTAGTTGTTGTACAAGCCTAAACATGGTCTTTGGTCCCATCCGTGTGCTGAAGTAGGGAGTAGAACTCCCCTCTGCACAATCACCTCCAATGTCTGTGTTGCCCCTATGTCTGTCATTTATTTGCTTTGACCTCTTTTCTCTAATAACTTCTTGCTCGAGCAGGTCATCAGAGTGCTGCTGGGATGGTTGAGCAGCCTGTGAGTCAAGTACAGCCCGTGTTGTTCGTTTTCTCTTGCTTTTTGTTGTAGGGGTGACTGCAGTGTTGTGTTCAGCCGCCGTCTGTGAGGGTTGTGATGGTTCTGCAGCTTGAGAGCTCAAGACTGCCTTTGTTTGTGAGCGTGTTGTCCTTCGTTGAGCAGTGTCCATTGCTTTTATTAAAAACGTTAGAAAGCAAGTAACTCATATACAACATATAATATAGATTGATGGAAGGAAAATATATTCCTTATTTCAGTAGAGGGGGGATGGGGAGTGCCGAATAAATCCAGCCATGCTCTACCGAAAAGAATATAATGTCCTTCAATAACAGTTACACATAATTGGTAATATAGTAACATAAAATTCATAATTTCACAAAGAAAATTCATAATACCAGAACAGAAAATTCATAACCTTAGAACAGAAAGTTCATAACTGCAATATAGATCAGAATCCATAATCTCATATGAGAAAATCCATAATTCCATATTGTCCATCAATAACAGTCACATATAATTGATAGTATAGTAACATACAATTCATAATATCTCACAAAGAAAATTCATAACCTCAGGACAGAAAATTCATAACTCCAAAACAGAAAGTTCATAACTGCAACATAGAAAATTCATAACTACAGAACATAAAATTGACAACTCACAATACATAATTCATACTCTCCTACGAGAAAATTCATAATCTCTAACAGAAAATACATAACCACATATAAGAAAGTTCATAACAGCAAAAATGTAATTTCATAGGCACAATAGAAAATTCATAATCTCACACAGAAAATACATATTTGCATGACATAAAATACATATTTGCATGACATAAAATACATAAGTGAATGGACGTTATGGACATTCAAAGCTTGCATAGAAAGTGAATAAACAGCAGTAAAAACCATATACGAATCAATTCATAATGGTTAATCTACACGTATATAATGCTACAGATATACATTTATAAGCTCATAACATTACATTCAAAACCCCATTTCAAAATTTCGAAATATGTACACAGAATACAAATACCCTAAATCATAAACACGAAAATACCTGTAATACAAGTGAAGGAACGTTGAGAATGAGCAATGGAGAGGCTGTATACTTTGATAGCTACGTGAGAACGTCAAATTTTGGTTTACAAATGCGAGAACGAGGAATCCGAGAGCAGAGGTGAATGGCTGTGGAGCAGAGTGTTTGAGAGTGATCGAAGGAAATGGCTGGGGAAGATGAAGCGATAGAAGAGAGCTCGAGAGTGGTGTTCCAGAGAGCAGAGCGATGGAGGTTGCATGGAGAGGAAGTGAAATGGCGTAGTGGAGAAGCGGAAACGCTATGGCGCGTTTAATTTAAAAAAAAAAAATGTGAGTGGTGGGAGTTAACGGTGCCACTTACGGGCACCGTTAGTCCCACTCACTCTAAACGGTGTCGTATGGAACCGTGTTCACCAACCATGGTGAACACGGTTCCATGGCATAACAACTCGCCTGCTGCTGATGAAGATTTTGGAAGCTGGCTCTCTTCACGGCTGTTAAGTGGTGATGATAAGGCCTCTATACTTCAATGTGTTGCTAGATTATGGTATATATATATGGCGTGAAAGAAACAATGTTGATTCCTCACGATGGCTTTGCGGTTTACGTCGAAGCTGCGGTGTTTCCAGATCAAGATCTTGCTAGCTATGGGGTGGTTATTAAGGGCAACAATGGAAACTTTATTTCAGTTAAGAATGGTCCGGTTCGTTGTTTCAATGATGCTCATTTAGCGGAAGCCATAGCTATTAAAGAAGCACTATCTTGGGCAAATGAACGTGGTTTACAGAAGGTGGCCATCTTTTCTGATTGTCAAATAGTATGTAATTTGCTCAATGGCTCATCTTTGGATTTCTCTTGTGCGGGTTGTGTCATTAGTCAATGGCTTGATCTTAAACGACACTTTGATTTAGTGTATATTCATTTTATCCCTAGGTCAGTGAATAAGCTCGCTTATGCTATGACTAGAGCTTCTCCTTCTTCTACTAGTCCTACTACTTGGTTTGATTCTATTCCTCCTTGTATTGAACTCTTGATTTAATAAAGTTCTAAATTTTATTTAAAAAAAAAAAAGCACATTATTTATGTATTGAATGTATATTATACAAAATAATGTATTTTCAGTATTCAAATAATGTATTTTTTCTGAATACAATATACATTATTAATATACTAAAAGTACATTATTTTAGAACATATGAAATATGATCCAAACAATAATGATTGATGAGCGTATAGTTTGACCCAACACGAGCTATATTATTAGTGTTGGGCCATATTGCGCCATGCAAGTCCAATACATTGGAACCAGGCCAAGTTAGTCCAATCCACAATCCACAATCCAATCACCATGGGCGAATTATTGTTTGGATAGTGATCCACAGGCAAATTATGCCCTGGACCCGTGTCTACAATTCATTGTGGACACGGGCCCAAAACGGCGTCGTTTTTCAAAAAAAAAAAAAACGCGTCATTTAGTTAAAAAAAAAAAATCGCGCGTGTTTTGCCGTTAACGGTGTTTTTTTTTTTTTAATTTTTTTTTAATTTTTTTATTTTTATGAATGTAGAGTTATGCCGTTATGAATGTACAGTTATGCAATTATGAAATTATGAACACAGAGCTCTAACATTATGAACTTACAATTATGATCATATAGTGATAAAATTATGACCATGGAGCTTTAAAATTGTGAATATAGAGCTTCAAAGATTATGAATATACATTTATGGAGTTATGAATGTACAGTTATGGAGTTATGAATCTACAGTTATGAGATTATGAATCTACAGTTATGGAATTATGAATGTACAGTTATTGATCGAATTATGAACAAAGAGCTCTGACATTATGAACTTACAATTATGAATATATAGTGATAAAATTATGAACATAGAGCTCTAAAATTGTGAACATAGAGCTTCGAAAATTATGAATGTACAATTATGGAGTTATGAATGTAGAGTTATGAAGTTATGAATGTATAGTTATAGAGTTATGAACGCACAGTTATGAAGTTATGAATGTACAGTTATTAACATATAATAATAAAATTATGAACATATACTCCTATAACAAAGCGGTCTGAATTTTTTTTTTTTTTTAAAAAAAGAGATAACAGTGCCTAACGGCACTGTTACCCGTGTCCAGCATGCATGTTGGACACAGGTCCATAGCATAACGATTGTGATCCACACAGTTGTGTGGACTATGATCCAAAACAACCTCATTGAATCTACAATTCTAATAAGAGCAAATAATATTAGGCCCTTAATTGGAGAAAAAAAATATCGGTATGATTGTTTCTTAAAATGAATGGTTCATATTATTTTGATTTTAGTATTTTTTTTAATAATTTTTCATATTTACCCTCTATTATATTATTTTCCTCCCTTAAATAACTTAAAATTTCGTTAGTATAAACTTTAGTAACGGAATATTCCGTGAACTATTTATTATTTTTAACTTACTCATTAATTTCTATAAGAAAGGTCTTAGGTTCGAACCCATCCCAATTAGAGTTGGCATAATTGTTAAACATATACTACGAATATGTTAAAATGTATTAAAAAATATATAATATAAAATTTAACATAAACTTTGGTCAAATAATTAGTCCAACTAAATACATAGCATTCAAAGATTATAAATCAGGAACTTTAAAAATCATTTGATTTTTATGCATTTAAAAAAAAACAAATTTAAGTTACGTTTTTTTTTTCTTTTTTTCGTTTAATTAATCTTATTTTGATTATTTAGAATAAAACTTAATATTTTAATTATACTTTTGCATTATTGGAATAATTTAGGTCGTTATGGTACATTACTTTATAAATATTATACTATTACTTTTTTTTATCGGACAAAATTGTTCTTACATCATTGTCATACCTGCATGACCTAACTACAAAGTTGTTGATCATAATACAATTACACCTGGACTTTAAAACGACAGGACCATTTTCCAAAGAATTGACAATGTTGACGTCACACTAGCTCCAATTGAACAAGTTTACACATCAGAATTTTATCAATGCATGAAAACTTCTAAAGAAATTTGTAAGTTAATTTTTACTATATCATTATAACAATATCTATTGTAACTATATATTTTAAATTATTTAGGAAAAAGGGTCAAATAGGCCCTCGAACTTTAGTTTAAAAGTCAATTAGGCGCCTAAACTTTTTAAAGGTGCAATTACACCCATCAACAATTCATTTAAGTGCAATGAAGCCCAAAAACAAATTAATGACCTGCTATCACAGGTCATTAGGGTTCATGCCACATTTTGGTGAATTTTCCAGCAAAAAAAAAAAAAAAAAAAAAGAGACCGGCGAAATTTTCAACAAAAAAAGTGATCGGCGAAATTTTGGGCAAATCTGGATTGGTTGCTGGTCACCTTGTTTTGTCGGAAAATTCGCCGAAAGGTGGCCTGAACCCTAATGACCTGTGATAGCAGGTCATTAACTTGTTTTTGGGCTTCATTGCACCTAAATGAATTGTTGAAGGGTGTAATTGAACCTTTAAAAAGTTTAGAGGCCTAATTGACTTTTAAACTAAAGTTCGAGGGCCTATTTGACCCTTTTCCCAATTATTTATTATTATCATCTATTGACAGGAATTGTAATAATTGTTATTGACAAATTCTCAAAACAATTTGTCCCAACAACGAATGGAAATTAAAAAAAAATCAATGATTTCATTGTTGTTGATGAAAAGTATGTACGCAGCTTTATTACTCTTATTAAATTAAATAAATTAGTCGCTACAATAAAAAATAATACATATGCATTTAATTAATTTAGAATTAGATGACTATAATGCCTTAATGTTTTTTTTTAAAAAAATTATTCATTATAAAAAATTTAAAAATAAATATAATTTCATTAGTTATATTATCTTTATTTTCTACAATTCAAAGATTCACTACCTTAAAATTTATTAATTTATTATATTCACTACATGGTCTATTGTCTTCTTTTTACATTATCTTGTAATTAAATATCAAAGTTATAATACGAAATATGTTATATATATTTATTTACCAAGTATTATATACAAATATAATAAATATTAATATTTTGTTCAATACTTTCACATGATAACCTACGACACACATCTCACTGCATGAAATATGTAAGGGAAAAACTACCACTACCAAATATCAATAAGTGCTTGTAAGATAAAGAGTTCATAGTACAACTAAGATCCCATCATATACACAACAAGGCAAATTTAAAGCTTCCTACATCATAATCTCATTGCAAGATGAATCCCTCTATGCTACCACCAGTAACCCCATTGTACATGACACACTACCAATTAAAAAGAAAAAAAAAAAGAAAAAAAGAGAGGACATGTAGTGAAGATGAAGGCCGGCAATGGCAATGCTACCCAAAGAGAATTAAGAAGAATTAGAGAAATTTAAACCAAAAGTAGTATTTATTTAAATTATCGTTTTTAGACTAGTGTTATTACAAAGTTGCAAACATTTATTTTAGTGACAATTATAATCAATCTCTCATATATTATCTTGCATTTATTTACTTTAAATTACCGATTTAAATAAACAAATTCAACATTTATTTACCTATGCATGAACGTCTCCTATATAATATTGCATTGATATATACTTTGAAATACTTATTTAAAAATAACTATTGGGCGTTATCTCATTCGCGCAAAGCGCGTAAAAAACTAGTATATTATAAGTAAGAATAATGTCGGGACGGTGACGTAGGAAATCGGGTTGTAATTTTGGAGAGGTGTTTCTTGTTACGAATCTCCTTCTCCTCCACACCTCTAGCGCGTCGCCGGCGAGTGAATCCGTGTCCAGAAATGAGCAGCGGAGGTTCGGGACGATGCCCAGGTTAACCGCAGCAGCTGCGGCGACAGGGAACTCACAGACCGAACGCCAACAGCGGGAAAGCACCACGTCTCCAGAAGTTCAGTCCTCGCCGTTCGTCAACGGTGCGGGGAGAGGAGACAGCTCCCAGACCCTCGTCGACCGCCAGTATCTGACCATCGCAGCCGCTGCAGCCCACGTCTCCAAGCTTGACTCCTCTTCTCCCCCGAGCGTCGTGCCCGTCGCCGTCGCCACTATCGACGAAACGTCCGGCCAAGCCTCCATTGTTGGGAGCCTTAATTACGTATACGGCAGCGGAGGAGTTCTGCAAGGACTCGGTGGTGGTGGTGGTGGGAGTTTGTTCGGCAACAAAGATGATTTCTCTGATAACCCCAACAACACCACCACCGGTGACGACTCTTACGCCCCGCCTCCATCGCAGGCTGCAATCCGATGAATTTTTCACCTTTAACAACGTGGAATATTAATATCTGATTCAAGGTTTCTCCGACAACAATGCTCGCCAGGGCGGCGTTGGACTGCAGGCCCCTAACCACAACAACACATCCTTCAACATCGTGCAGGTTAGTATTGAAATTCTTTACAAGACAGTATCTGTTTCATTAGACATTATTCCATTTTGCGCGAAAAAGAACTAGTATATATACACACATACACTGCACGTAAAAGATTATATTTATTTTCATTTATATATATATTTCAATCTAATTTGTAAAGTAAGATATACTAATTAGTAAATAATAAGATATAGTATCTGTTCTATGATCAATATATATATATATATATATATATATATATATATATATATATATATGCACATCAATGTTGTGAAAATCACGCTTACGAAGGCCAGAATCGGCCTCCTCCGCGGCTGGGCGGTTGGTCTAGCCGGCTGAACCGGCGATTTTTTTATTATTATTTTTAGTTGTAAGGTTTGAAAAGTTCGGGAAGGCATAACTTTTGACTCGGTTGTCCGTTTTGGACCATTTTTTTTTCAAATCGCATATTTGGCCACCAATTTCTCAAAAAATGCATCTTTTGCTCTTACTTTTAGTTTTTTTTTTTTTTTTTTTTTTTTTTTTTTTTTTTTTTTTTTATGTATTTATATGGTTTTAACAATATTTTGAACAATTTTACAACCATTTACGTAAATAGTTCGTGAAAAATAACTATGGG